TCTTTCTTCTTCAGCTTTGTCGATGCAAAGTAGTGATATATAATATGTAAAGAAACAGCTCATTTTGAATTCTTGTAATATTGTGTGCATTCAGATAGTGCACAATTTATTATGAAGAGTACACCATGTATAATGTTACATTAATCTTTCTATCAAAAACATAATTTAGTTTATTTACAAAATAAAACTTCCTTACTAGTAGATAATATTACAGCAATCATAAATTAATATTAAGTGCATTTTGACAGTAACTTTTTGGATTTTTTCATTCATTACAGGAACCATAAAACAATATAAATGCATTTTAACAGTTTTGGTCTTTTCAATCATGCAGAAATCATAAATTAATAATTATGTTCAAATGTTCAAACTTTTTGATCTTCTAATGATTATGTTACAGTTTTTTGCTTACACCAAAATCATTTAATAAACAGAACATTACAGTTGTTGCAGCTTAAAGATATAAATTTTATCTTGAAGTTTTGAATSTATATCCATCGAGTGAGCACAATATTTCCATGCGACCATGTAATATCYTCTATTTAATYACAYAGGAATGATAAATAATAATAAATACATTTTGGTGGTTGATACTTTTCAATCATACAGTGATCATAAAAAAATGATTAAGTTATACTGGACTCTCTTTCCCCAGCGATTCCGCGAGCGTCGGAAACGAGAGGCCAGGACTGGACTACTTAGCTATGGTGCTCCGCTCGCGCGGGCTAATAACTGTAAAATCAGCTATTCATTTCAAATTGCTTAGAAAAGAAAAGGAAAAAAAAAAGACGAAATCAGAACCTTAAAAGTGAATACCGTAATGAGTGCAGCTTTAATTCCATAAATTAAATGTATCATACRTAATATTTACATATCATTCATTCATATTGTCAGGTTATTATATATAGTYATAATCAGCCAAGTTAACATYAATGATCGATGTCACCAGGGTACGATTACTTGAAAGTGACTATACTGGAACCAGGGGCGGATCTAGCATTTTTTCAATCACTCACTCACTTTCCTGTAAACTTGAGCCTGCGTTACTTGTGTTCAGAACTATTTCATCGCACACAATTCGCAATAAAATTCGGTCATGACCGAGAAAAGACTGGATCAGAGAATTTTCCCTAAACATCCCAAGATCGCGTACGGTGATTGGACCAATTTTTGTTATCTAATTATGTATTCATATATCAAAATGGCGTACGCTCGTAAAACAAATAGAAAAAACTCTTGCAAATCTATTGGTTATTACCGTGATCTGAACAATTTTACGACTGCTGGCGCATTTGTAAACCCAGTAAGAACTTCAAAGTGTTTGAGGGGAGTTTATGCTGTAGAAGAATTGTTGGCTAGAAGATATAGCAAGGTTAGTAGTAGTTACTGCAGTGTTGGAATTTTTTGCCTTCAAATTAGTTAAGCTAAGTTTTAGGATAAGTTAATAGTGTCTCTTCTTTGATGGTTCGCGTATAGGTTTTGAAGCAACAAGAGTTTTTAGTCAAGTGGAAGGGTGGGGTTCCAAATACAATTCTTGGAAACCAGAAGTTCATATTTGGACTAGTGCGGTAAGAGTAATTTTGAGCTTAACTTACTTTGATTTAAGCTCTTAAATTATTTTAGCTTTCTACGCTTCTAAACGACTACACTGCGTCTACACAAACCGAGCCAGGCAAACAAAATTATTCACAAATTATCCTGAATCACATTTTTACAAATTATCCTGAATCATATTTCTATGATATTTCTTGCTTTAAAAAATATTCAATTTAATACAGTAAAATGTGTTAAAATTAAAAATTGTGTAAAAATTTTCTTGACACACTGTAAACTTATATCTCCACTTATGTACACTATATATTTACAACTTACTCCGATCATTTTGTAATTACAGGAACTTTGAAAAACCTAAATTAGACAGCTCCATAGTTGTTTCACATATTGAAACAATACGTAATGTGGTTGAAAATGGCTTCTCAAAGTCACTCCAAACTGACACAACAATACCATTCAAGCATAGCGTTTTCCGCTATCTGTTTTATGGAAAGGGAAGACAGTACAAAAGGGGAATTATAGCCTTGCAAGCAGATGACTTTCCTCGAAGATATTTCCCCAAAAGTTGGGACAGTGGCTATGGCAATCAACGCCTAATTTTGAGAAAAGTACGGTATCCAGTGCACTTGCGTCCTTTCCTTGC